TTTAAAAAATTTTTTTTTTTTTTTTTTTTTTTTTTTTTTTTTTTTTCTCAATTTGAAGTTAAAAACGCATTACTTTTTGGTTACATTGCACAGATCCTCCACTCTCTAGATTTGTCCCATTCTATAAAGGCCTCTTGGGACAACTTGTAAATCTATTTTTTTTTTATAAGCCTAGAGGGGCCCCTTGGCTTTCGCCATTTACACTGCAAATCATCACCAAGGACAGATAATAGTGGTCACCCCACGTGAAAACAAAGACATGACAAAGCACAATCAGATCCTCATAATCCAATCCACATGCAAAAACTTGATACCCCATCAATCATTCTCCAACCAACCAAAACAAACGAGAAAAAAAAAAACAAAAAAAAGGGCAAAAGACCCAAAATCTCAAAAGCATAAGACATCAAACTCATGCCTAAAACAGGCAGACAAATGACTCCCACAGAAGTCTACACCTCACTCTCTTTTCTCTACACTCAAAGCCTCACATGGCCAAGCTTTGAGGTCGCTTTACCGCTCAAGTAATGTATTTATGCAAGTCTAGATGCATCTTACTTCTAGAAGCTACCAGGGGCAGTTCAGCGGTTAGCATGCCTTTCTTTTTTCTCCTCTTAAATGAAATTTGAGTGTAAAGTTCGATACTCCATGCCGCATTATAAGTCCCTGTCTAGTCAATAGATTGCGCGGCATTGAGCATGTAGTCTGGTGGGAGTGAAATTGAATTTCAACTTTTGAATAGAATTGAGTCATTGGATGGGCCCTTGGAAAATTTTACTATAGACGAAAGAAATGAGAGTCAGAATGGTACCAATGGTTCCTCTTTTTTCCGTTGATGTACGGTCTCACAGAGAGGAACAACAAGCCTTTCTAAAGAATTGCAATAAATGGGGTAAGCCATTTATAACTTCAAATTGAGATCCACATTTTCATCTGTTCCACCATTGGAATCATTGAATTGTATTGAAGTTGATTCACAATTTTGTTTCTTTGCTGGTGGGAAGAAGCTGTGGAAAGGCAGTTGTTCACTTGGCCTACTTAGCCCAGGTTGTAAAATTGGCTCACCAACAATTCCCTACAAAATGTATGAGGAAAGAGAGCAAATGAAAGAGCAAGAGTGAGACTAATTCCTATAAGAAAGGCAAAACACAAAAATTAGTGAACAGGGTATTTGTTGCTTAATCTCACTTCATAAGGGTTCGTCTCGAAATCCGGTATTTTGTAGTTGTGGAAGGCTTGACTAGAGAAAGTAAGATTGAACTTTGAGGTTAAAGATGTGGCAGCAGTAATTGCTGGAAGGGATAATGTGAGAAGATTTTCATTCCAAGCACTGTTTTCTTTGATGCCATTCTCTGAGTTGGGCTCTTGAATGGAAGCTGAATATGAAGGGGAAGCTGAATATGAAGGAGGAGCTTCTCTGCTAATAAAGGAAACCTTGTGAACAAATAACAACATGTAACAACACAACAAGAAAAAAGAGCCAAAATTGAGGACAACAATAAGCTAACCTCAACTTTGGGTTAAAGGTGCTTCCATCCCCACATGAAGTTGATCCATCTGCTCTTGGTTGAGCAGAAAAAGTTGGGAACTTTAGGTTGAAAGAAGGCCCTGGAGGATGATCTAGAAAGGCATGTAGCCTCTTTTTGCCAGCCATCTAAGCCACATTTTAACCCAAATATCCAATTAGAAAAAGGGAAAAAAGAAAACCAACAAAAAACAATGATGTTGAATCCCATGTTAAATGTGCATATAAAAAAATCACGGAATGTTGAATTAAGCTTTGTTTCAATGCACCTCCAAAAATTGCATTACCAATTTCTCTTGTTCCATCCTTGACCAAAGGCCCAAAATTATTGGAAAGTTTGAATAATGTGATTTGAAATTTTGGTTCGGGGGTGTTTGGTTCAAACCACTTGAACCTGTTTACCGAATGGGTTCTGTATATTTTGCACCTTACAACTCTAAAATGATTTGAATGCCATCCCAAAAGCAATTGTTTAAAAATATGTTCAGATTAGCAAGAAAGATAAAAAAAAACACAATGAATTAGAAGGAAATAGAACAATGCAAAACCAATTTACCTGTTCTTCCTCCGGCCATATAAGAGCATTGTTGCCATAGTAGCTTTGGTTTGAAGGGGGCTCCATTTGAATGCTTAATGCAGGTGGTAATAAAGCTGGTGTTTGGACATTCACCTACAAGTTTCACAAAGCAAATTTCTTCAGTTACTTTTGGACACAACTAGAACATAAAAGGAGAAAAACCCCCCAAGAAAAAAGAATAGACCAAAGAAATCTAAACATACACAAACAAATCTAAAAGTTTCACAAACCATAATATTTCTTCCTCAAACATGTCAAAGAAGAACACAAATTAAAAAAAAAGGGAAACATAGAGGAATGCCCTTTTAGAATATAGACGCATTAAAGATTTACACAATTTTTTAAACAATACAAGATTTTCATCCTCACTTTCTTCCATTACATATCAACTTCAAAAAGACAGAATTCCAAGAGAATGATACAGAATTCTAAGAGAATGACACAAAGCTAAAGAAATCGAGTACAGAATTCCAAGAGAATGAAACAAAACTACAGAAACCGATTACACACACGCAAATCTCTTACCATTGAAGGAGAAATTTGGTCAAATTGTTGTGTCCTCTGCAGCAAGCCACTATGATGCCTAATGGGGTTAGGCTCACGAGGCAAATTCATGTTAAGTGCCAATCCCGGATTAAACTTGGGAGAATTCTCTCCTTTGTCAACATAATACTCACAAGAATTCCACACTTTAGGAACCTTGGAATTCCCCGGAATCTCACACGCATTATGATATGCAAAGTTAGCCAATTGATGATGATGATAATAATCATCATCATAGCTTGGCCTTTTCACACCAACATTGTGGGCAGACACAGAAGGAAATGGGACCGAATCGACACCGAAATTACGGTAATTCGGAAGCGAAAGAGAAGGAGAGGACGAGGACGAAAACGATGACGATGACAATGCAATTACTTTCTTTTGCTGCTCTTCAAGCCTGATCTTCTCAAGCTGTGCCACACCAAGTCCTCTCTGTGGAACTTTCTTCTCTTTTTGCTTCTTGGATGAAGAAGATGATGAAGAATTACTCCCAATGCACTTATGAGTTTGGTCTTCTTGGGCCATTCTTCCAATCTTCCATGTAATCATGCAAATGGGATTTTGATCAAATAATCCTGGACAAAATTGGGAATGTCAAAGATTATGTTTTCTGCATTTCTACTAAGATTTTTTTTTTCTTCTCAACAAGACTAAGAATCTAAGATTAAGGTATAAAAAAATTGGAGGGACAATGGCAGATTTTTTTTTATATATAAAAAAAAAGAGAGAATGAAAGATCTCGATTTGAGATCGAATCTTGGTGCAAAATCTAGAGCAATATTTTAAACTACAAAAGGTTTGCCAACTTTTTTAGCAAGAATTGAAGAGGGATAGAGGGAGAGACAGAGAGGGGGGTAATAGGTGAGAGAAGAGACTTCGGATTTTTCTCAAAAACCCAATTGTTTGCTTGTCTGAGAGCCACAGAAAAAGAAAATTCAAAAGGATGCAAATCTTGAGCTGTGCATCACTGTGAATAACATTAAACTAATATATAAATTGTTATGAATACTAGTTGTTCGTTCAGTTAAAGTTATTATGCATCATGTTAAAATTTTATTGAATAAATAGTAAAGTATTATATAAATAATAATTATAAATAGTACTAAATTTTTTTTTATAAATAGAGTTTTAAAGTTCTTCATTTTACATATTTTCATCAGATTAATGAAAGTTTCTCTCTCTAAAGTTTTTCTTATAGTTTTACATTTTTTTAGTTTTCATAACACGCTATCCGCATGAACGTTTTATTCCTACTGCGATTGTCTACATTCATTAATTCAAAGAAAGAAGGATCTGATCAAATTACAAGCATCTACCTTAAAGTAAAAAAAAAAATAGGTCCTAGTCTTAGTCGTACTACAAGTGAAATGTATATAAATATACTTTATTATTTTATATTCATACAAAGGAGGGCTATCACACCAACGTATTGTGATTTTTATAATTTAAAAGTTATACACTTTTCGAAAGGTTTACCGAGTAATTTGGCATGTTTGTATTCTCATAAATGGACGACTATGACACATGCCGGTAATAATTTGTCATAACACTTTCTCCATGCATATTGCTATTTTCATCTGTTTATTTTTCTACATCATTTGAGGTATACAATTGTAATTTTTCTTCCACTTCTAACAGTAATATAATTGATTCTTACACACTATTAACGACTATATAACAACTATAAACGGCTAGTTTTTTTTACTGTATAAAATGTGAGTTTTCTTAACCTATACAATTCACTTCTCATCTTCTCTTCCCCCTTCTTAATATTTCTATCTTTCACTTCACATCTTTTCTTCATTGTTCTTAATATAATCTTCATGATACGACGAATATGATGATGATGTTTGTTATTTTAGTAGTCATTTTTTATATTTTTGCTCTTTTGATTGGCGATTATTCTCAACACGATTTTCAGTTTTTCCTTACAAAACTCATATTTGTAATATTTCCTCTTTTATTTATTGCTATTATGATTAACATGTACTTTTAATTGTAATATCTATTGTAATAATAATACAATGATTCTTATTATATCGATGTTCTATTATAGTTTTCACCATGTCAAATCTTGTCAAACTTAAGTTCGCTGCACTCGACATCACGAGAAAGAATTATATGTCTTGGATCATAGATGTAGAAATGCATATAGAGTCAATCGATATAACTGATACCATTAAAGAAAATAATAACAAGTCGCCACAAGAAAATGTGAAAGCAATAATTTTCCTTCGTAAACATCTTGATGAAGGCTTGAAATATGAATATCTCACAGTTAAAGATCTACTTGTCCTTTGAAAAAGTATGAAAGAGAGATACGACCACCAGAATGAAGTCGTACTTCCTGCCACTCGTGATGAGTGGAATAATTTACGTTTCCAAGATTTTAATAAAGTCAACGACTACAGCTCTGTCATGTTTAGAATTGCTTTGCAACTGAAATTTTGTGGAGTAAATATCACAGATGGTGAAATGCTAGAGAAAACCTACTCTATTTTTCATGCATCTCACATTACCTTGCAACGACAATACCGTTTGTGCGGTTATAAGAAAATTTTAAGCTAATCTTAGCTATTCTTGTGGCAGAGAAAAATAATGAATTGTTGATTAGAAATCATCAGTCTCGTCCTACTAGTTTAGCAGCATTTCCAAAAGCAATGCTGCATTCTCTAAAAATCTGAGACGAGGGCAAAATCGTAGTCGTGGACATGGTTGCGGTCGAGGCTGTGGTCGAGGACGTGGTAGAAATGGTTATTACAACCCTTCACAAATGACGTGATCTAGAAGAAGCATAATGACAAAAGAAAAGATGTTGATGCAAGTTGTTCCCAGAATCCTAAAAATTATTGTTATAGATGCGGTAATAAAGGACATTGGTCTAATTTGTCGAACACCGGAACATCTTTGTAAACTTTATAAGGCATCCTTGAAGGAGAAAGAAAAGGAAGTAAATTTTAATGAACACTACGATCCTATAAATGATTCAACCCATTTTGATGTCTCAAACTTCACAGATGACTTTACAGATAAGACTATTAGCGATAACTAGGTAGATATATTATGCTCTTATGTATTTGTGTTGCATTTTATTTTTGTATTAGATCTGTTCTATGTATGTTGTACTTCTTTACATAAAATCCTATGTTATGTATTTTTTTGAAATTCATGAAATTTTTATATTATTATTATAATTATTTTTGTGTGAAGCTTAATATGGATGGAGCTAAGTTCAAGGTAAATACCGAAGATATCTGTATTCATGATAATAGTACAACGCACATTATCCTAAAATTTAAAAAATACTTCACTAATTTAAAACGAGTAAAGACAATAATCAATATAATATCAGGTCTTGTAAATCTGGTTGAGGGGACTAGTAGAGCAAGTTTTGTATTACCAAATGGTGCCAAGTTTTCCATAAATAATGCTCTATTTTAACCATAGTCCAAAAGAAATTTTTTGAGTTTTAAAGACGTATATCTTCATGGATATGATACACAATCTGAAACTGAAGGGAATGAGAAATATATGTATTTAACTACTAACGTATCAAGAAAGAAGTATATATTAGAAAAACATCCAAAACACTCTTCAAGATTATATTACACATATATAAATGTTATAGAGTCACACATAGTAGTTAAAGAAGATTCTCAAATATTAACCCTATGGCATGACCGTTTGGGTAATCTTGGTTCAATAATGATGCGAAGAATCATGAAACGTTGACAGGGACATTCATTAACAGGCCAACAGATCTTTCTATTAGCTAAAATAGGATAATACAAAGAAGACCAAAACTATAGGGAAATGAAAACCGTAATAGTACAATGCAAATTCAACCTTTCTACCAAACTCGGAATTGTATGAATGTCGAGGCACGTGAACCACGTTTTCCTTAAAACAGATTCGTCCCATCCGGTGAGTGCTTGAGGCAACGTAGGATGTCCGTCTCCCAGGATACAACGACAACGACGGTAGCTCGATGTACTATCAGAATCGTCCAGTGAACTAGAACTCGTACCTTCCCTCTATCACCAAACCGAACTACAAGAAGATAAAGAAACTAGAAGAAGAAGAAGAAGAACTCGTGGGAGAAGAGCATAATTTATTTCTGTGCAAGTATCCTTCTCCTTCATGTGAAGATGCCTTATATAGGCTCTGGAAAAAAGGTTATGAATCCAGGAATTAAAGGCCTTAATCTTAATTTTAATTGTGCATAAAACATTTCCTGAACACGGCCACAATACACATCCAGATTCAAGGAAAAACTAATTCAATAACCAGCCTTAATCATCATAATTAATCTAAGCCATTAAGCCTTCTTTAATCTCCATTAAGCACAACATATGCAAAGGCCAAACGGCTGGAAGCTGGAAGGACTTGTCTGCAGCAAAAATAAAAATTGTAAAAGTAAGCTCGCACGGAGCGGGTTTTCTGGTTCGACATTCGTGTCCGTAGGTCGCGGGCGC